TTTAGCCCTTGGCCTTGTGTCTATTATTACACCTAAAGGGGTATTAATGTCCTATAATACACATGAGGCCATGTCTTCGTGATTTAAAGGAGGTCTGTTTCATCTGCAGCTAATGGAGAATTTAATCATTTTGTAAGACTTTTACCTTTAATAGTAATTCGGATTGGATTAGGGGATGGTGATCGTTACTCCATGGTCTAAGCGCTGTTGATTAATCATGATGATCATGAAACCTGGGCAGCTGGTTTCAGAATGGAGAAGTTTTGGGGAGGCAAGAGAGAACGGGGAGGTGAGATGTGGGATTGCAGGAGCACAGAGGGGTGGAGGAAGGATGAAGCATGTAATGGAGGCAGGGGAAAGAGGGCATGGAGTTAGGTTTAGGGTCCTGGTGAGACACAGAAGGGGCTAGAGTGCTTTTCTAGTGTCTCACGTGGATCTTTTCATCTCTATTCCATGCAGATATAACCTCTACCTTCTCCTAAAGGCCTGATAACAATGCCTGATAACAATAGGCCTGGTACGAGCAGCAGAAGGCAGATCTCGATGCAGCAAGGGGTAAAGAGACTTACGAAATTGCACGGGCATTTTCCAGACCACGGTGTCCAGTTTGTGGGCCACTGGAGACCACCCAACGGCTAGAAAAGATACGTCTCTACTGTGTCTCTGACAAGTCTGGGACTATCATAGAGGAAATAACCCCTACCCATTTAATCCCACTCAGAGCATGACCAAGACTGGCAATTAAGGAGAATCCATGATTAGATCAGGCCTGGTGACATGCCTTGGGCCTGATCCTCAGTTGATGTAAGCTGGCACAGACACTCCAATGAAGTCAACAGAGATATCTATATCAGTCCACTTCAGATGAATGCTCTACTTGTTATTTTATTCTGTGTGGATCCATCAATAATGCGGTCTTATTTTAGAGCACGAGTGGGGTAAGGCGTGGGGGACGACGATGGCACATTAAGGCCTGGTGGGGAGGGACTGATCCATATGGGATGACGGTGAGGCCAAGGACCAAGTGAAATGGCCACATCCTTTTGGTGTTCATTTCAATTCTGAGCCAGCAAAGCACTTAAACAGTTGTTTAACTTAAAGCTTGTAATCAGTCCTGCTAAAGTCAATGACATAACACTTGTGCTTTAAGTTAAGCATACACTAAAGTGTTTTGCTGGATTGGAGCCTTGCAGGTTTTCAGACTTCTGCATTTCACTGAAGTGGAGGAATTATTCAGTGCAAATGAACAGACGCTATCTGCCTAGCTCCACAAATACACATTTACAGTGTACCACCTTAACTGTTTCCTAGGTTAGTGTCTTGTTTACAGTCACGTACTAAAGCCTACTTCTACCTATGGTAGCTGAAACAACCTCTTAATCCACCTAATACTAAACACAGCAAATACTGAAGCACTTGGACATAAACGGACACTTGCAGGTGAAACTCTGGTCACCGGAGGCAAATAAGAGCTGTGCAGCTGACTGAAATGGAGCCAGGATATTCAAGCTTCCTATGTGAAACTAAAGATATTCCTGTAAAAATGCATTTCTACCATTACAATCACTGTAATAGTATCTCTGCTGTTGAACCTGAATTTAATGCATAGTAAAGGCCAATCTACTTAGCAGGCAGTAAATTAATGGTCCACTGTGTAGCAGCAACAACGTACTTTGAGTTTTCTGGTTCTGACGGTAAAGTGTGAGGTGAGGTTGCTGAAAGTGGCTCATCTCTGTTGATTAATAGCTTTCAGTGTTTGCACCTGCACCGTGGAGAATGCTAGATGCATTTAAAAAAGATTTACAAGCCAAAGAGCACAATTCAACCAGACAGGCATGTCTCGGGGAGGTGACACGCAGTTCCACTGGGAGTGCTGGGAGAAGCTGCGTGTCAGGACGGCTACTCCTGGAGCTCTGCACCGCGCAGTCCTTCAGGGAGTTAGTTCATCACGCTGCCCTCTTAGCTGTTTGGTGTGTCCCACCTCTATCCCGCCCCTCCCCATCTCTCCCGGGGAGGCTAGCGATCAAGCCTGCATAACAACCATGCAGTCCTTGCATTCATTTGTGCCTGGTCTCTGGGCTGGAGTGCAGGGCAGAGACGGCTCCTTTCTGCTCCCTTCCTCAACCTCCTTGCCGGCATCTCTTTGATGGAGCCCAGTGAAATCTGGCTTTTAGCATGTCTGTCTGTCAGCTATTTGGTAAAAAAAACTGAGGGATAATTACACTAGCTAGACAACATCCACTGAGTATTTTTGCATGGGATATCCCAGCAGTGCGCAGCATTTTGGCCAAGTAAGGTGTATTGGGGCTTCTACGTATAAGCCTGCCAGGCAAAGTTTAGTACTGAGCTCCCAGATTCTCTCCATTGTCCTGAGCCTTGGCATTCAAAGTCATGCAGAGAGGGAACAATTAATCTCTGTCCAGATAAGAAAAGCTATAAAAGAAAAGAGTTACCAGGTTCTGGATGGCAAAGGCATTGGGGCCTGCTCGCCGTCCTTCCCATTTCCTTGTGCCCTTTTTCTTGTGAGCCCCATGTTGCAACTACCCATGCCTCCATCTGAAGAGCACTGGCTGTGGGCTCCCTCCTAAGCCCAGTGACGCACATCCTGGGTCAGCCGGGCAAGCTTGCATGGGAATGGACTTGCTCCTCCTAACTATGCCAGGCTCTGAATGTTTTATTCTTCCGGGGGAAATGAGACCCAGATGTCTGATCCCCAGCTCAGTTATTCAACGTGCCACAGCCCCCGAACTAATGGGGGTGCCTCTGTCACTTGGCCAGGCTAAGGTGGTTTTTTGATCTGGGTTAGCTGATCTGGGTTAACTTTAACACAGACCAAAATGTGCCAGGTGACTGATCTGTTCCTGAGTCTGGTGAAGCCGGAGGGATGTGTAAGGTGTTCGGGTACCATAGTGATAAGCACAGAGTAAATAACTAGTAAGGTAAATTTAAACACTTCAGGACAGGAAAAATGTCCTGACAGCTGAAGACACTGAAGCTGATCTTCCCAGTCCTAGCAAGGCCACAAGCCCTGTCAGCTGACTGCCACTGAATAGCAGAGTTCCTGTGGGTTTTGGGCAGGATGGGGGATTTTGATGTGTGATGCTGAACTGCCTGCACATGACTGAGAGCGCTCGTTTCTATGCCTGTTTCATAAGTTTCTCCAGCAGTTGGACTCTGCAGAGCAACAGCAGCCACAGGTGCACGGAAAAGCCACGCTTCTCATTCATTTCATTTTTCAAACATGAGATACATTTGGGTGTACAGAACATGCTCTAATAGAGATCATTTGTAGTGCGGTAACATCCTATCACTCGAAAACTATCATAATCCCCCATTCCAACATCAGCATGCTTTCTAACAACACACATTTCGGCGACAGGCCATTATGGCTCGGAAGCAGCTTCTTCCTTTGATTGACAGCGAATTCTTAAAAAAAAGAAAAGAAAAACAAAACCACCATTTTCATGAACACAATCCTAGGTAATAAAACTAGACTTTAGCACCATTGACTTTCATTAATATTAGAAACAACATTAGACCACTGATGACCACTCCCCTCAACTCCATTCAGCATCCACAAATCTCAATCAAAGTCGGTGTCCGGATAACGGTAAAGCACACAGAACGCAAAGCACAGCGGTATTAACCACCGGTCTTTCAGCCCTTGAAACCTAGTAAAGGTCCCAAGAGCCAGGGAGTTTGCCAGGCTGTCTGGGGGAGTATTTAAAGCCTGACACTGGAATTCAAGAGACCTGAATTCTAGTCCTGACCCTGCCTGGGACCAGTGATGTGTCCTTAGACATGACACTTAACCTCTCTATGCCTCAGATCCTCCAGATGCAAATTCGACATAACCCACCTAATATGCATTAGCACTTTCAGATAAAAAAAACACTGCATATGTCCATTGTATTACTGATGCCTCTAAGACATGATTATCCACACCGAAACGAGAACTGAACCCCTTTGCTAGAATAACCAGTCTCCATGACAGAGCAACATCTGGAAGAGCAAAGCTATTGCTAGATAGGACGGAGGTTTATTTGCAGATGTGTAAAGGGACGTTTGTACTCCGTTCAGAAAAAGTCGGTAGAGCTCCTGCCGTCTCAGCCCTCCCCTCACAATTTTTCACAAGTGCCAAGATTCACAGCAGCCTCCACCCATTAAAAATGATCATGGACATAAAAAAACCCTGAGATATATATGACCCAATCTCCAGGAAAATCCCTGAAAATGAAATGCTGAAAACCTGTCTTAGCTGCCTGCTGCTGTGCCTCTTAACTAGCCTTGATATACCTGAGAAGTGCAGCAAATAAGGGTATATAATCCCCGCACTGATCTGAAAGCCTTTCAGTATCCCTAGACACAATATATCAAGTTAAGAACAGAGTGACAATAAATTAATGATGGATGTTGAGTCACAGCTTGGAATTCCTTGCTTTCGTCTCTTGGTATCAAGCTTTTTGTCTGCGAGCGTTTCTTATACCACTTTATTATTCCATGTGCTATTTCCAGTCCCCGCCAATCTAAACATTTTGGATTATTTGGCTTTCCAAATGGGAGGCCTACAGAGGATTCCAGTAATATGACTTTTTTTTTTTTTTTTTTGGAGTGGTGATAAACCTTACAATATGCATCACTAAAATATTATTCCCTTAAACCTTTAGCTTCAGCCCATAAATGCTACTAACAGCTAATTTCATCCTTGAGATGAGAGAGAACGCAATTCATAGCAGAAAACAGTGGTTGAAATGATTTGCCTGTAAAATGCCCTTCATTTGAATCCTCGACTAACAACCTGGTTAGCATTAGTTTCTTGTCAAATGGTAACGCTCTAGGAATTCCTCTTCCCAAACACACTTCACAGTAAAGCCTACATTTCTTCTGCCACACTTTAATCTTCATTCACGCACTTCATCCCAGCCCGTCTAACTCTCTCCTTATTTCATACATTTCAATATGTCCTGCATTATTGCCCAACCTTTAATTGATCCGGTTACCTTAGCAACGGTGGACCAGCTGTTCCCAATATGGAGATTTCAATTGGATGTGACAGAAAGATTTTTCCTTTAATCTACATACTTCTGTAGTTTTCACCTTTGGGAGAAGAAAAAAAAGCCTATTTGCAAGTGGGAGGTTTCCATCAATCCTGTCCCTCGATGTTTCTCTTGTCTATTTTTTTCACTTTTCTTGCAGTTTTAAGGGTGTTTTAACTATTATTCTTATGGTTTAACGGAGAGGAAAAATACCCGAGTGTTCAGTAATTTTCCTGAAATGAGCAGTCAGAAGCCACTGGGTGAGGAGACCCTCTGTTGAATAAAATCAGTTGACAAAAGCAGGGCTTCCCACATGTCAACTTTATTTGACAAAGCTCCTTGTTCTCTCCACGTTTTTTAAAACTCCTCTTCCCATCTGCTGTGTTTACCCACCTTCGGCTGGCTAAACTGTTCACATGTTTCATGGACATTATCATAATTCCCATTAGCGGCAGGACACTTCAGATTTGTGCCGGAAAAAAAGTGCCTTTGCTGTCACTTTGCAAAATTCCTCACTTTTGCCTGGTACTCGGGAAGAAAACTGTGCAGAAATCAGACGTAACCAGGCTTATTGCCATTCTTTCGAAGAGCCATAGCAAAGCTTTAGGATGAATGACGAAAGCTCTCCGTGCTGAATACAGTCTAGTTTTTGCAACCAGCCAGTTTGGAACTGGTTTGACGGACGTCAGAAACCCGATCCGTTCAGTCCTGTGTCAGCCACGCAGCAACAAACAGGAGGAAAACACCTTTCCTTGTGACACAGCCTTTACTTTGAGAAATGCCACGGCTGGAGCAAAGCAGATATGCAGATGCTTCTCCAAAGCTCACTTGACACTGCATCTTCTTGTTCGTTCCTGTGTGGAAACAAGAGCTTTTCAGTCTTTTCTTCAGTCACCTCCATCTGGACCACTTTGTCCTTGGCTGGTATTTGTTTTTCTGAATCCAGAGTGCTCCAGAGAAATTCCCCCATTCGTCTAAATCTGCTAACTGATTCCACACAAGATGCTCTTGCTAATTTGCTTCTATGGCAAAAATAAAAGCTGTTCTTGCTGGCAGGAGAAATGCATGGTCCACAGTTGGTTGCGATAGGATCTTTTTTCCCCTGTTTAAAATGTAAGATCTCATGAATTAAGAAGATACAGTATGTCCAGATCTTATACCAGTCAGTCTCTCTGATTCATCAGGGAGTCTCCTTGGTAACTAGCTGTTCCTCTCTGATGATTCGTGTTATAAAAAAGCTCTCTCAATTTAAAGATAAAATACAGTGAAAGGAGAATGAGGAAGTATACTGTATATGGGCTGAACACAGACACATGTATCATGTTTATAGTGCTATATTGTGTATTTCCTAGGGACATATGTATGGGGACAAACACATATGTACCCAGGGAAACAACGACTTGGTATTTGCAAGAGGGCAAAATATCTAGACAAACTATTGCCTCTTTGCTAGTATTCCTTGTTCGCATCACAATGTCGGTCACTGTATTTGCAATGTAAATAATCTCAGGGGAGGGGGGATGTTTTTGCTACTACTGTTTAATGAGAGGCTCAGCAGTTTATGCTTTAGTGAGCCAGGTTTTCAGTTTTGCATGAGACTGATTACCAATTAGAAAGATTCAGAAACAAAGCAGTTTACAGCTGGAATAATAGCCAGGTTATTGGTGGCTACTGAGTAACCCTTGCTTCAGTAATTAGAGCGTGGACTGACCTCTCTTTGCTGCATAATAAGCCATCATTATTTCTTTCAGGTTGCTCAAGTTGAAAGGATGCTGCCCTTTGAAGACTATTTTTCTTTGAGAGCTAGTGTCAGAGGAGAAAGTTAGTTCAAGGTGAGGTTAAGAATGCTTTGTTTTTGAAGTGGATGATAATGGTGTGTTTGTAGTTAAGGATTTAATCAAAACCAGTCAGCATGCACACATCTCCCCCCCACCAACCAAGCAGGAAAAACGTTGGGTGGCAACAGCACAGCTTGCAGTTCTCTAGCAGCTTCCGTCTGAGGATCTCAAAGTGCTTTAGAGCCATTGAGATAAGGCAGGTAAACATCCTACAGGTGGGAACACTGAGTCATAGGCTGAAGTCAATATTTGCAGATTCGGGCACCTAAAATTAAGCACCTAAATCTATGATGCACTACAAATACAGAACTGTGTTTTCAGCAACTTTGAAAAATGTGGCTGAAGAATTTTGCCCAGGGTTACGGAGGATTTTGGTGGCAAAATCATGCCTTATGCATAGTGGCAAGGGCCTTCTGGTACCTACTTCATCTGACATGGGACATCTACAGGGTCTTCCCAGTTACAAAAGGCTTAGCACCCTACTTGGGGTTGGGGTTGGAAGGAGGAGGCTGCTAACTTTAAGCACATGCAAGTGCAAGCTGTTTCCACTCTACTTTTTGCTAATAAGAAGCAGAAAAGTATCACATAAGAGCATCGCTCTCACATAAGAAAGCCCCATAGCAAACTTCACGGGCCTTCTGACAAATAAGCAATCAAAGGAAGCTTAAAATACTGAGTCAGGTGTTCAATTGAGGGACTGTCTGCTCACATCTCACCTCATTTTCTGCACTGTGTCCAGGGTCCTACAAATACATAAAACAAATAGTAGGAGCAACTCATATACTGACTTTTAAGCTAAGAGAAGCCAAGTTGCTTTACAAACAGGAGTCGGTTAGCCCACCAGTTCTGGGGTGGAGTCCAACAAACAGGTAGGAAGGACAGCATGCTGCATAGTACAGAGAATGGGTATTTGGGGAGGGAGATAGGGAAAATTCTGTGCTTATGAAACGCAGACCATGAAACTTTTAACATCCAGGCAGGATAACCAGGACCATATAAACATCCTGAGAAGGGCTTGCCAGGAATCAAACCTGTGGCTTCAGAGAGGTGAGGTATTGCAATCCAGAAGCATAGACAATTGTCAACCCCTCCAACAGGCACTACATGCACTCAAACCTTGATTTACTGAGTAGCACAAGGGACATGGAATTGATTCTGATGAACGGGAGTTCATATAATCGAGCCAATTTCCAATGCAATTAATACACACTAGGGACACAACCTCAGATAATCGAGCTAATTTCCAATGCAATTAATACACACTAGGGACACAACCTCATTTTGGATAACTGAGGTTGTTGGAGAAGCACATTTGGGATAATCTAGGTCTGACCAGACTCCCAGATGGATGTAGAACCCCGCTCAGCACACCACAGCCAGAGAGTGGGGGAGGGAGAGCTGGAGGAAAGATAATTATCTTTTCTCTTTCCTGCTTTCTCTGCGCTGTGTTGTTTGGTGCTGCTGCGGGTGCAGATGGGCAGCCTTCTGTGACTGCATACGAACTAAGACATGTCGGCCCAGGGAGACACCTAGGCTATGTATAGACATTACACATTACTGGTATAAGTGGTCGGAAACCAATCTAAAACCAAACTAAACATGGAACAGAATAGAAGTTCAGTGCATATAGATTGGTTTAAAAATGGCAGAACCATAGGTGGCGGAAGCTGGGGGTAATGGGGCTTAGCCCCCCTAAATGCACGGTAGCAAACAGGGCCACAGGGCTGCCCAGCCATGGGCTCCAGGCTGCTGCAGCGGGGGGCCGGGGGTACTGCCCACCATGGCAGCCAGGCAAGTTTCAGTCTACTCTGTGAAGGGAAAAGGACTGGGCAGGGGCAGATCAATGCCCCCACGGTGTGGGAGGGAGTGGGGCAGAGGCAGGGACAGGGGCCGGGGCTGGGGTGAATGGGGCCCGAGGCCGGGTTATGGGATGGTTGGAGCCTGGGCAGTTTGTCCAGGGGCATGAGGTGGGGAGGGGGCTCCTGTTACTGTGCACACCCCAGAGAGGCCTTGGGGGCTGTGCACAGGGTGGAGGTGGGCTTCTGCTGTGTGCTGGGCTCTGCACCCCACTGCTGCTGCCACCCCAGGAGCGGTGTGTCCCCTGCCTGTCTGGCAGTAGCAGGCACATGGCATTGTGCAGCTCTGCGGGCAAAGGCGGGGTACAGAGCCCAGTGCGCAACAGCAACCTTCCTCCGCCCCGTGCACAGATCTGGAGGCCTCCACCGGGGTGCGCACAGATGTGGGAGGCCCCCCCACCACCGTTGTGCCTGGACAATTTGCCCAGGCTCTGAGCATCACATGACCTGGCCCAGGGCCTCATTCACCCCACTCCCTCCCTCACCATGGAGGTATCAATCTGCACCCTTCCCCACACCCCTTTACAATGACAGACTTACCTGCTGGGGGTGGGGCTGGGTGCATGTGCGCGCATCCGCACATGTGCTCAGCGCCCCCCCGCCTCCCCCGCCAAAAAAAATTATTTCTTCCTTTGCGTATGGATGGAACTCAGTCTAAGATAGACCTGGAAGGATGTAGACTTAATCAGTTTAGGTTAGGCCTGCTTATTGACCTTCAATACCATATCCCCTCCCAACTCAATTTAGGTCATAGTCTGCTGGCATCCCAGGCACCTTTCATAGATTTCATAGACATTAGGGCTGGAAGGGACCTCGGAAGATCATCGAGTCCAGCCCCCTGCCGAAAGGGCAGGAAGTCAGCTGGGGTCA